TGCAAATGTGTCCGAAGGCTTTTATTCAATACATAGGCCTCTTTCCCTTATCATATTAAAAATATAAATTAAGTGAGGGTTCTAATTATACATTTCTATAGTATAGGCCTAGACATAATATACATATTTCAATAAATTATTGACAATATTCACATCTTTAGAATACCTTCTTCTCTCGTAAGCGTTGCAAATCATCGATTTACAATTGCAGGTATAAAGCTTTAGTTGCACACAGATGTGTGTTAGGTTTACTTTTAGACGACATTAAATGAAAGAACTGAATTATTATTTTTGTTAACAAAATGAAAGAGCAGAGGTCAGGAGCAATCTAATACCTTATCTATTTACAAGGCGAATGCAAACAATATTTCTGTATATGTGTGTTTATGATAACGTCTATCAGATTACGTATATGTATCACATCCTTCTGGATGACAATAATATTTTAGACCTTTGGTTTGTATATAAATATTGGTATTTATCCTATTTTATAAAACTATTTTACTTACCAAATAACATTTTCTGTTTGTTGTGTAATGATTTAACAATAATTTACCATCCGTCTTGGATCTTCAAAGAACTGAACTGAAAGAAATAGAACTACTTTTGTGACTATCTGTGATTGTTGTTCATAATAATAACCATGTCCCTATGAGTCTCGGAGTGCTAATATAATTTTAAGTATGAAGCAGAATTATCGTGTAAGGTCACAATCTGGATATTAGACCTCAACAATGATAAAGACAAGTCGGTTGTAGTTGTTTTTATCTATGTGTTTAATTTCAATTGTTTAGGATGGGTTCTGTGTGAATGACCAGGAATGAATCCTAAGCCATCGAAATCCCCTCTCGCATTTCTAATGATAATGATGATTCAGTTATTTACTTATTTTTAAAACAGGACGTAATCATTTTGATTTTTCAGCAAACTAGAGAGGCATTGTCTCGCCTGGAAAAAGACTACATTAGTGAAAATGCCGAAGCTCGACAATCTCGTTTCCATGGTGCCATTCGAATGCTCGGCCGAGTTCCTATCATCTTCACCACCAACCTTGACGAACTTTTGGAACATTTTTTGTGGAAATCAGGAACCGATGGCGATAAAATTACTCTTAACCAAGTAAATTGGAATTAAAATTCAGGAACTTTTATTTTCCTTGTAGATTTGCCTGATGTTAATTTCATTTCATTTATTTTGCCTTAACACAATGACATCAAGGCAATGCAACCTTACCTTGATGACATATAGGCCTACAATTTACAAATTTCACAATTCGGCTAGAAAGAATCAGCAAGAGTATACTTAGCCTAAATACTACCACGTGGCTCTCCAAACCAATTTTTAGAAAACATGAACATGACACAAAAATCATTTAAGATGACATAGTCTTTTCAATATAAACAGAAATTCTAGGCTATAAACACAGTTAAAAGGAGAATGGGAAATACTTATTAAAACTTCTGTCTAATAATTTACATGTTTTAAAGACATTCTGCCTATACTTATCATAGGCTTTTTTGTGCTCTCATGTCATGTTTTTAGTTGTTCGATATGCGAGTTTTCATGTGATTGAGTAAAACATCATAATTAATGTGTCTGTTTTAATAGATTGCTGGTTTACCCGATGTGAAGAACTTAGATCGTCCTGTCATCGTCAAGCTATTCGGTGACAAAAGCTATGCTTCCTTTGTTACAGTACGTTGCTTCAATTAAATCAAAATATTTTTAAAGTATTTTATGATTGATTGATTATATTTCAGAGTCAAATCCATCATGTATAAACACATTTGAAGTAAAAAAAAAACTATATATGTACAATATCATTATCATATCATTATTTTAAAATAACAATGAGTTTTGATTGCAGGATTTTCTTCTATTTTTTTAATAATTCACGTTGTATCTATGTAATCAATCAATACTTGTTTTATGATTATATGCAACGTTGATATCCATAGAACTGTGCTCTCTGTTCTGAGTATACAGTAATACGCATTTTTTAGTGTAGAACGTAAAATTGCTTATCATAATTGTCCTTCTATTGTTTTAGAAATATTTAAATAAGTCGAAAAGCATTGAGTCATATAACAACTTAACCGTTCTTTACGTGTTCTGATTTATTTAATCGTGGAACAAAGACCAGGAACACATCACATACGAAAGCATGAGAACAACAATTCGAATGTTTAATTAGTCTAACAAGAAAATTTACAAATGTAATTTTAAAAATTTATAGATTGAGTCCAGAAGACAGTTTGAGATGTTGCATAAGGAGGAGAATGAAGTAACAGCTAAACTTACAGGCATCTTGAACAGCAGTAGTGTGATTTTTCTGGGTTGTGATGTTAAAGACAGTCTGTACAGTGATTTTATCAAACGTTTTGTCACATCGTCCTCAGTAAGTCAGTAAACAGATTACTAATGATGATATGAAGGACGAGGCGAGAGGAGGAGTAAGAGAAGAACGACCGCATCGAGGATGAGGATTATTATGTTGAGGATAATGCGGATGGTGATTTCATAATGATGATGGTGATGATGGTGATGATGATGATGATGATGATGATGAATAAGATGACAATTAGGATAATGATTAGGATGGTGATGAATGACGACGAAGACAACGTGACGGCGATAAAAACTACGACGACGACGATGATAAGGAGGGAAAAAGAAGCAGGTAATGGCGATGACAGTGCAGTTAAGGGAATAATGTGATGACGAGGATGGGGGTGGGGGACGATAATGAGGACTCATGACGATGGGGGCACAATGATAATAAGAAGAGAATGAGAATGACGATGCCTAATTTATTTTTTTTACAAGATATACATGTAAAATGTATAAATAATCAAATAATAAACTTAATCGTTTTGTTTACGTTTCTCAGAAAGAACATTATTGCTTTATAACAAGTAATAAGAATAGAATCGAACAGAGCGGAAACATGACAACACTGATGGCAGATATGGAATTGTGGGAATTTATTCTACATTTAAAAAGCGATGATGTTATCAAGGAAGTGTCAGAGATCAAAGATGGACAGGTCAGCATTCGGACCACACAAGACGTAGTTTCGCTACAGATCATAATAATTATATTAAAATAATGAAAATAACAACGAAGATATCGTAAGACATATTATTGCTACAGATCATGGCAATAATAATAATGATCATAATAAAAATAACAATAAAATCAATTTAACAATTATAACAACCTACTACTATAGATGTTCTTTCTCTGTGAGACTGATATTGAATTATCCCAGCTCATTTTGAAATAGTAGGCCTATTTATACAAGTCATGGCAATAATAATAATAATAATATAACTACAGTATACAAATTGAAAATAGTAATAGCAGTAACAATAGCAAGTGCAGTAACTTACGACACCAATTGTGGTGAATGGTGATGATAATAATAAGGACGTCCGACACGATAATTGGCATTCATGTTTTTCTAATAATCGTGTTTCTGTAGATTCACGAGATATCTTTTCTTCCGACTCAACGTGAGAGTTACTTAATGCAACAACTTCTGATGGAGAAAACTGCAACTGAAATTCATTTTCACACGACTAAAGTCACAAACGCACTCGCTACAGAGGAGTTACTGACACACGAATCAAAGCCTGCTTTGGAAAGAATTTTTAGCAACGATCCGTTTGGTGAGATAGAATATGTTTTGCCTTTTTTCCCCTTTTTTCTCTATAATAAGTTTTCTACAAGGCAAGTGATTAGTTGACAGATTTTAAATTCATGTTAGGCCTATTACGAAGGACCACCGATCCAAAGATTACCCTGACTATCGCATAAACGGGGTCCACAGAGGTGGGGTCCACAGAGGTGAGCCCCAGTAAAGTCTATATTGTAAGCCTATTCACAAACACGTAAAGTCTAGCCATTTTTGTAACGAGAGTTTTATTAAGCGGTGATCACTGATTTGCAAGGGATTGGTTAGTGGCGTGCCTAGCCAGTGCCTAGTTTTAAAAGATGATTTTATTCATGTTTTAAACATATTTTAATTCATGTTTTAAACTTTTTTATTTTATTTCCTTTTATTCAGGTATAAGAACATAAATAACAGTCAGCAGTACAAGACTGAAACGGCTGAATTTAGAATATGAAAAATAAATATGCAAATGAAACAACAATTCAAAAATATTTAAAGAAAAATACAATAACAAATTTACAATTCAATTACCTGTAAAATTAAGATAAACAAAAACTATACAATATTAAATTTTATAAAAATGGAATAAATATAAAAAATATATATACCAATAGGAATAAGGAA